CTATATTAGCAATGTCATTGGACTGTGCTCTTAGTCTTATGTTCTGAATTTTTGGGTAGACCTGTATGGTGCCAGGAGTTGGACTTTATGATCTTTGTGAGTCCCTTTGAACTCAGGATATCCTATAATTCTATGGTTTACTTTTCATTTCATAGTATTAGCTTCCCTTATCCTATGTTTGTATTTTTAGTTGTAGTTTCTATTGTTTTGATTTTATTTTACCTGTTGGTCTTTTCTATTTTTAATCTAGCTTTAATAAAAGAAGCTATGTTTTGTGATTATAAATCTGGGCTCTGAAGTCACGGGGATCTAACAAACAGTCCATTCATATTGTTTTCTTTTGTTTGTTTGTTTTATTTGGTATTGTCAGCAGTTACTTTCAGCTTCAGAAAATTAGCTGTCAAAAGACCCAGGTGTTTTAATTATTGGCCTGGGTCATTCTCTGGCTACATGTAATAGATGAAACAGATCCCTAATTGTGCTAAATGAATATTAGTTTCTAGTTTAGTGATTCATTCACCATTATCCATCCTAATGCAAAGTAACTGCAGCCAATTCTACTATTTCTAACTCTTTTTTTTTTTTTTTCTTTTTTTTCTTTTCTTTTCTGTAACTTTCAGGTGTTTCTGGAGTGATGTATTGATGACTTCATGAGATCTCGAGGCTCCTTTCCCAGATGACTTGAGTCTCACATGATAATATAATTATTCTTTCAACATGTTATTCAAAACTGTTTGAGGACCTGATAAGATTGTTATCTAAGCTGAAAACAGTTAACTATTCCAGATATTATATATATATCATTACTTAAATTTATGAATTATCAGTTAATACTTTGACCCACAAGTATAGAACAGATTTGATAAGATATATATGTTATTTCAGATTTTACCTAATTCATTTTAAAAATGGGATATTCAGAATAAAATAATACACTTTAATTCTGACAGTGAGTTATTTCCCTTAAAGCTTATTATAGGTGTCTTATGAGATTATTTTCTTTTCAGAATGGTCCTTGTAAAAAGCTAAGACTGAAACAACATGTAAAGAAAATACAGTATTTTCTTCAGGTGTTCAAGAGTTTTTTGTTTCATTCTACATTTTTTCAAACCCCAGCTCAAAGCAGATTATTCACCAAAACAAATAAAAAAAAAAAGAAAGTCTTCAACAGTGTTAAAAAAATATTTGTAACAAATAAGAAGGTTGTACTTCTTATCCCCTATTCCCAATCTCAAAAGCTGCTTGGAATTGAAAGTTGATGCTTTGGTCTGTACAAATTCCATTAAAAGCAATGGGACAGTTGTTCAGACAGTCACCAATAAAAAATAAAGGACTCTTTACATCAGGTTTTATAAACAAGTTATTTATAAACTTTAGATTATTAATTCACAAGACATTTGCCTCTGTCTTTAAGATGCCTACATCACGTAATATGGTTTCTGTTCCCTGAGAGGATGACAGATTTCTAAATCAATAATTAGAAAATCAAAATATGGCAAAGCATGTTGTTTAAGTAAAATATTTCTGTTGCCTAGGTGTTTATATAAAAGAATAGACATTTTTCCAGGTATTCTTACACTTTTTTTTTTCCCCGCATGACTATTTGTAAATTAGTAACAGAAGGTCGTGAGTGTGGCTAAACTAAAGCAACTATAAAATTTTCAAATAACCATAATTTAAGCCTCATATCTACAACAGTATAGTTTGTGTTTCCACAACTATAATCTTCCTTACAAAAGAATGTCTTTAAAATTTTCTATTTGTTATCTCTTCAAAATACAATGAAATTTCAAAACAGTTTTTCAGAATACAAAGAAACCTGGTTTTAGATATCTACACCTTAATTAATAATAATCACAATGATATAAAAGCATGTAAACTTAAAACAATAAATGTGGTGAGAATTAAGAATATGCATGTGGACTGTCATATTTTGCAAGCAAGATGTGCGGAGTGATTCATCATCAAAACAAATCCTGCCAAACACAGTAAGATCTGTCATACTCCAGCCAAATTGCTAAAGTAAATGTAGGAAACAGAAATGTAATGTGACACAGTAATCCTGAGACACAATATAGCAGAAAAGAAAGATCTCAATATGACCAGGAAAAAATAATGTTCATGATATACCAATGGCTGAAGACAGAAATGCTGAAGAATTCTTTCCCCTGTCATGCCTTACAAAGAGCTATGAAAATGTCATATATATTTGTAATGTGCTTCATAGAATGTAAATTAGTTATTCAGTTGTTGTGTGGTTTTGTTTTGTTTTCTCCTGAAGAAATCATTGCCTCTTTTTAGATTATTTAAAGACCTAAATCTTTTAGCATCGAAGTAGGAAAGTATATTATTCAAAGCAAGATGCCAGGTAAGTCACTCCTATGAAAGTCTGGCCATTAGTGGCACAAAATATCCCTCTTGGAAATGCATCCTTTGACAGGCTGGAGCTTTATATAAATTGGTCTCTGAACTTGTGCAAATTCACAATTTGGAATGAGTTGGAGGTCCTACAGGGAGCTGTTTGAATGAAAAACAGAAAATCCTGTATATACTTTTGCCCTGAAGGTCTCTCAGCAGCAGTGTACTGCTGTGCTACTTGTGGGGGACAGTAGACAGTAGGAGAAATTCTGTCCCCAGAGAACATACATCCCTAACAGGGGCAACAAAGACATCCCTGGCTAGTAATAGCTTAGTCTGGGTAACTACACTCTCTATGTTTTAAAAACACGATCAGATGAACAAAATAGTAAAACAACAACAACAACAACAAAATACTTCACAGGCTTTAGAAAAAGATCCTTCTTCTTAAATAGTAATTAACAGACAAATATTAAAATACACAGTGCTTTTTGAAATAATTCTTTGTACAACACTAACATGTTCAGAAATATATTATTTATTATTTTTTTTTACTCTATAAATGGGTATAATTTGAAAAAGAGACAAGCTTTCAGTTGAATCTGTTAGTCTAATTAAGGATATTAGGCATTGCCTCATTCATACAAAGGAGACCATGCTTCTGAAGACACTATAACTCTTCCATTTTTAGTATTATTAGGTCCAAATGACATCATCAGGAAACTGAGAAACTTGCTTGGGTTTTATGGCTTTCTGTATTTTTTAATAAAAAATATAATCTTTTGAAGTGAACCTAGCCTCCCCTCCTGCTTAGGATAACTTCCATTATAATAACTTCCATTAAATTACTGATATTTGATCTTTTATATACTTATCTCTCTGCTAGTTTGATTTTTTTTATCATGGATCCAATATTATTTAGTGCCATAATATTATTTAAAATACATTAGTATTAGAAGAATATTGTTATTACAGTCATGCTTTTACAGCACTATGTGCTGGATTGTAAAAGGTTAAACAAAGGTTAAACAACTAACAACGTAGTTTACAGCTTGCAATTTCTTCAGCTTGCAATTGAATCAGTTTAATTCCAAAACAAGAAGATCCAAGGTTCTGTTGAAATGACTAACTCACAGGATGAAAAATAATATCTGAGAACTAATTTGCCTCTTTCTTATTTCAGTATAATTTGTAGTTTTTTTCCTTGTTTGTTTATTCATTCATTTATCGTTACTATTTTAAAATAGTAATACTATATGTATTTCATTTTAAACATTTTGGAGAAAGGATCAAATGCATTTTCTTTGTGTTTGTCTTGAGTTTTCCATCAGCATCTAGGAAACAGTCAGCAGGGTCTGACAGATCCCATTATTCAAAGCGTCTGAACTCCTTTTTTATTGTAGTTTGTCATAAAACTTGGCACAAGCCTATTACTAGTAATATGCCTTTATTGCTGCACTTACTTTTAAGCTGTAAATCTGTTTTGCATCTATGGGGGGAAAAAAAAATACAGCCTGCATGCATATGGACTATGAACGCAGACAGTTATCTGGGTAATTTATTTTATGAACTTAGGCTGAATTAAATAAGGAGCACTACCAGCATCTAGTAAGTGTTCTTCCTCCTGAAGCTGCAAATCAGCAAGAAAAGGTTTCTTAAACTGGCACAGTGAAGGATCTGGGTTTACAATATGTTGTTTGAATGTGTTCTGGCTGAAACAGTAACTGACAGTCTGATTGATAGCCCCTATTTCTTTCCTTATTGTCACAAATTGCTTTCAGGATACTAGCAATAACACAATGTTCAGCTCCTATAAAAGATGCAACTCTCCAGCTGGGCTTTCACCATGAAAAGTTTTGTCGTATTAGTGGAAATCATTTTGCACAACATTTAAATCCTGCATCCTGGAGGACTGTGTGGCTCAGGAGACTGGTAGTGAGAACAGAATAAAAAGCCTTTCATCTCTCTGTTCCTAGTAAAAAATCAGGCTCAGTAGATACCAACTGTTATTTCCATACAGAGACTTTATAGTTCCCTATGTAAAATGAGTTTAGACTATTTGCTAAAGATTATCCTAAAATCACCTTCATTAACAGTGCTATAACTACCCTGAAGAGCATTTCCCAGTGGCATGAGGACTACAGAGCTTAGGTTCAGAGCAAAAAGGAAGTGATTCTTCAAATAAGGTGTATTTCTGCTGTTGATCTCCTTCCCACATGAGGGAATGTATTTGAAAAGCAACTAGAAAAAACGGGGGGAGGATCCGTCAACACAGAAACCCATCAACAACTATCAAAAACAAACATAACACCTCTGTCCACTTCTCTGTGGTTTTCCTTTTGAAGTATTATTTCATATTATATAAGACATCTATCTGCAGAAACCCAGATAACTTTAGACAAGGAATATATTGGGTATATTTGTCTACATGATTGACTTGTCATATTCCTACACAGGTGTCTGCTGTCTCTCACAACTAATAACAGGTTACAGACCTGGATGAATCTTTGATTTGACCCAGTGTGAACAGTTTTGTGTTATTATATGGTTTATGTTATTATGGTACCTTTTTCATAGCAGACTCAAAATATGGTAATTACAAAGTTGCAATTTTTATTTCCTAAAAATGTCAAAAGTTTTACCTTTTCTCTCTTTTAAAGTCCCTAGTCCATTCTTCTGCTCTTGAAGACATTGCAGAAAATACAATATCAGTAAATTGTGTTGGCTTCGTTCAAGTATTGCCAACAGCTACATTAAAAAAAAAAAAAAAAAAGATTTTATTTCTTTTTCAATTGGATCGTACTCAGACAGCAGTCAGGTACACATCAGCTCTTCTTTTCCTTACTTGTCTCTGTGACAATGAAAACAACCAGAAAAATATATTTCATGAAGGAGAGCAATACAGTATAAACCATCAGGTGACCAGAACTCCAGAGCTTATCTGTGCCCAAGCAGATGTGCTGTGTTGCAGGTTATGAAGCCCCAGTCATTAGTACTTGGATTTTCTTCTCTGGACTCCACATAAATCCAAAACTACAGGATCACTGTTACCTTTGTAATTGCTGACTTTGTTTTAAGTCATTTTAAGATATTTCTCTGTAATCTATTAGCAAACATGTTGGGTAATCTACTATCCAAATATTGTTAAAAATACAGAGCAGTAAGGAAGAGTAAAGGGTTATTTCAGTTGTCTAAGGATATTTATAAAAAGTTTTTTCAGATGCCTTAGAATACTGTGTTGTCCTTCAGATGTTTCATCAGAAGGACTTGGATATGCCCAAGGCCCTGTGATATGCCTCCCAGCCATGCAAGAATACCCTAGATATCTGAAGTTATCTCAAATGTCATTAGATGCCTGAGCTTAGGTATCTGAATTAAGGCCTAAATATATAAAATGTCAGTTATGTAGACAGCTAAAGCTTCATGGATTTTATTTAAAAGAAATTCTACTTTGAAATCATTATTTTGACACCTTTCTCTGTTTACTTTCCTTAGTCCTGTAAACAAGGATGGTTATGTTGACAGTACACTTGTAAGCTACTCAGTTTTAATTAGGATTTTTGGTTTATTTGATAAGTACACATCATAATGCACAAAAACTTTCCACTAAATTTCAACAAACAACTCTAAATGGCTATCAGCAGAAGAATCTATGTCACAGGACATATGAAGCTTTGCAAAAATCCATAATTTATGCAAAATTAGTATGTTCCTGACTGTTTTTCTGAAAGTATAATTATCCTATATATCCTATAAATAGATAACAGTATGAAAAATGAAGCACCAGGAGCTTCATTCTGTAAGTTAGAAAACCAAAAGTACAAGGAAAAACAAATCAAGATCAACTGGAAATAACTATGACAAACTTCTTCTTCTTAACTGTAGGACACAGAAGATAGACAATGACTCTTTTTAACCACTTGCAGCAAGCAGACATCAAACAAGAAACATCTAGACATCATTATTTAATGGGATTTACTCTGAAAATGTTTAATAGCAACAGTAGTTCAAATTTATACAACAATTTTTGAGTTTTAGTGAAAATGGGAAAAAACCTTTTTAATGAGAAAATTTAATTAAAGAAAATTAACTTTTCCTAAACAGTTTGAGAAGTAGCTCTTAATACCTCTCATTGTCACATGCAATAAAAAGATTTAGTTTGGTAAATCCACTAACACTACAAATTTATCTTAAAGTTGAAAAGATTTAAAAACTCACATTTTGGCTGAATTTCATGACTTTCATAATCTCCAGGTGTCAGGTAGTTGCCTCCCTCTTTCCTGGGAAAAAAAAAAAAAAAAAAAAAAAAGGAAAAAAGATAAAACATTTAGATAATTTAGATACCCATTGCAGAGTACTTAGTTCAGCATATTTGACAGAAATGGATAAAATTTATGTAGCTTTTTTACAACAGTATTTTATTTTGTCGTACAACTTCTCCTTGAAGTAAATTTCACATGAGGAACATATACTGATTTGATGTACAAGATAGGAGCAGGTCTCCCCACTCCTTCCAAATCACATTTTATGACAGCAGTACACCACTATCAGAGGTCTGTAGATGAACAAGTGTTGTGGCAGCTTCTTTCCATATAATTGCATATAATGCAATTATATAAAATTAATAAATATTTATTAATAATTATTATTTAAAATAATAAGACAGAATAAGACAAAAAATAAGACAGAACTAAAGTGAACCTGCATCAAAGAGCAGTGAAAAAGTCATATGATAGTGCTACAGCCATTAACCCTTTGTAATTCCCTTTGCGTTTACATACATCTAGACATGAATTATTCTGTAAAATATGTGTCTACTGAGGTTTTCATCATTTAACCATGCAAACATTCCTTCTTCAAATGATTTTTTTTTTATGTTACCATCTAAGTTTGAGAACACTGAAACAAATTAGTAAACAAAAAGGAAATGTCTAAGTAAGCAAACTGCATTGGAGTGTGTACGCATAACAAAGTCTACACTCTTCAGAAAGAGAGGAATGATTAGGCTGATCATTTAAAATCAGGAAAGTTTCAGATAATAGTCTACTTCACTTTGGGATGAATTTGCTTCCTTGAGAGCAAGATGACAGCAATTCTGGGCTTTTCTGCTGCTCATTTCAAGATAACCTTAATTTGTAATGCACCCATGACTTAGTAAAAATAAAACATCACTCTTTTCTGATCAGTCTCTTTACTGACTAGGATGTATATGATTTCTTTACTCTCAAATTCTTTTGTTGTTATTGTTGTTCTCTTTTAATTTCTTTTATTTTATCAGAAAAATAAAAAAATGAGAAAGATTTATGTTATAGAACTACCTAGAATCTTTGAAAGAAATGCAAAATCACATACCCTTTTATTTCTAGTAAATTTAGGAGTACACAAAAGATTCCACACAAAGGTCTCATCTTCTCAGAGCAGCAATGATTAACAAACACTAGCAGACAAATACCATCTCTGTAAGCTGTGGTAACACACCCTTTTCTTGTGTTTTCTTGTGTTATGCATCTGAGTGAGATGGATATTGGTTGTTTGCATGTGTAGATTTTTTTTTTTTTTTTTCCCAGGGGCATTTCTGCAACAGCTCAAATAGAAATGTATCATACTGTTTGTGAAAACCTGTAATAATATGTTGGTATGTAATCAGTGAATCAGACACTATGACTAGTTTCACATGCAACCAAGAAACATTTGCAATTTAAAAAGCATGAATCTTTCTTGGAAGGAAAACAACATCAAAACAGCATTTTGCCTTCAGCATATGTTAAAAAACAAAACAAAACAAAACAAAAAAAAAACAGTACAGTAACATTTTTGTATAAATTACATAAATATAAAATATATAGTAAACATATATATTAACACACATAAATTACAAATTTGTATTGATTTATGTGTTTAAGTTTCAAGGGACATCAGTTTTAGAGAAGATAACAAGTTGAAGCATCTTAGTTTAATGTAGGAAGAAAAAGCTTTCTTTCCTCATCCATTAAAATGCCACGAATCAATGTATAAATGACAGTTAAGACACTAAGTACCAATTATTCCTATACCTGCTCATTTTAGTCGACCTCAGCCTTATCTCTCACTTCCTTTGAGATAGGATAAAATACAGAGTCAGGTATTAAAAGCTGAATCTATAGATTTTCTTCCAGCATTTTACCACTTCACTTAGCACTAAAACAAGTTACAGGCAACCACAGCAAGGGAATTTATGACCTTACAAATGGAAGCAGCGTGTGATAAATACCACAGTATCAGTTGTTCAGGTAAGTAATATATGCTCTTGTAAAACCTGTACTGAAAGCTGAGTAATTTATGAAGTAAAAGAAGTCTGGCTTCTTTAACCTCCTATGCTAATTCATTTTAAGATAACAAGGGGATAGACTTGTGTACTACACTCTTGTGCTATTTTTAATTGCTATGTCCTCTCTCTTTTATTAGTGTATCCTATTTCTTCCATTTATCAAGTAGAAGGAGAGAATGTTATTTCACCTTTAAAACTGAAATCCTTCTTACTGATACAGACTGATGATTTCCAGCCCCTATTTTAAAGGGGAAAAAAAAAAAAAAAAAAAAAAAAAAAAAAGGGAAATTGCTTTTCTGGCCAGTGGCCATGTTGAAGTTGAAAACATGTCTTTTACAAAAGGTAAAGCACCCTAATGAATGACTTGTTTTTGAAAAAAACAAGTCCTTGCAGTCATTCAGTAGAAGCACTAATGGAAAAATATAGAAAAAAAAAAAAAAAAAAAGGCAACTTCCCATGTGTATTGCAGCACACATCACAATCAGCATGGAAGACTTTGGTTTCAGCCAACCAGTCTTCTGAATCTGATTCACTAAAAAAGAGAAGAGGCAGAGGTCCAAACTTTACGCTCAATTGAATTGTGAATTAACAGGAACTGGTCTGGGTATTGCTAAGAATAGAGGCTTTAGATAGGCAGGTCATCCTGAGTCCTTGTTTTTATTTTGATCCTATAAGTTTAGGCTTCATAGACAGAAATTCTTTTGCTTCTGTAAAAACTTCTAACCTTGAAAAAGCTATTTATTTAACCAAGGCAAAGCTAGTTTGACAAAAAGACATTACTGTTATTACTATAATAGACATTACTGTTACCTACAAACTCTACCTTGTCAGTATCCTTAGATCATCATAGTTACAACCACACCCTATAGTCACTACAGACAACATTTGTTTAGAAACAAAATGGTCCTTTAAAGCTGCCAGGTTTTTACCGTCAAATAAATAATAAATAATGATTGTTATTGCATGCACTTATCATAGAATTGTAGAATCTTAGAATCATAGAACAGCTACCTTAAAGATAATCTAGTTCCAATCCCCTTGCCATGGACTGGGATTCCATAAACTAGATCAGGTTGCCCAGGGCAATCCAGCCTGGTCTTGTACATCTCCAGGCATGGGACATCCACAACTTCTCTGGACAACCTATTCCAGTGCCTCACCACCCTCTGAGTGAAGAATTTCCTCCTAATATTTCATCCAAATCTCACCTCTTTTAGTTTAAAGCCATTTCTTCTTGTCCTATGATTATCTAATTAAGCAAAATGTTGTTTTCTATCTTTTTTTAAGCCCCCTTTAAGTACTGAAAGGCTGCAAAGAGTTATCCCTGGAGCTTTCACTTCTTCAGGCCATGTATCCCCAGCTTCACAGAAGAATGAGAGGTCCTCCTGGCCTCTGATCATCTTTATGGTCCTCCACCAGACCCACTCTAACAGATCCACAGCCTACTTGTTCTGGGGGCCCCAGATCTGGATGCAACACTCCAAGAGCAGAGCAAATGGGGGCAATCACCTTCCTTGACCTCCTGACCACACCTCTGCTGATGCATCCCAGGATGCAGTTGGCCTTCTGGGCTTCAAGAGTGCACTGCTGGCTCATGTCAAGCTTTTTGACAAGAAGCCCCAAGCTCATGAAAATAACCCCCAAGTCCTTCTCTGCAGGGCTGATCTAAATGAGTTCTTCTCCCAGTCTGTCCTCATTTCTGATTGCCCCAACCCAGGTAAAGCACCTTGCACTTGGCCTTGTTGAACCTCATTAGGTTCACATGGGCCCACTTCTCAAGGTTGTCCAGGCTCCTTTAGATGGCATCCCTTCCTTCTTTGGTATCAACTGCACAACTCAGCTTGGTGTCAGCTGCAACTTGCTCAGGGTGCACTTCATCACATTGCCCATGATAAAGATAGTGGATAGCAGTACCAGTCCCAAAACAGACCCCTGAGGGACAGTGCTTGTCATCGGCCTCCACCTGGAAACAGAGTCATTGACCACCACTCTCTGAGTACAGACTTCAAGCCAATTCCTTATCCACTGAATGGTCTCCCTTTAAGTCCATATGTCTCCAACTTGGAGACCAGGATGTCATGTGAGACTGTGTCAAAGGCCTTGCAGAAGTCCAGGTAGATGACATTGGTCGGTCTTCACTTGTCAACTGATGCAGTCAGTCCATCACAGAAGGCTACCAGATGGGTCAGGCATAATTTGCCCTTTGTGAAGTCATGCTGGCTGTCCCAGATCACCTCCTTGTCCTGCGTGTGCCTTAACATTGCCTCCATGAAGATTTGTTCCATGATCTTCCCAGGCACAGAGGTGAGGCTCACCCATCTGTAGTTCCCCAGCTCTTCCTTTCTACCCTTTTAAGAATGAGAGTGATGTTTCTCTTTTTCCAGTCACTGGGGACTTTGCCTGACTGCCATGATTTTTCAAATATAATTGAGAGTTTCTTGGTGACTACATCAGCCAATTCCCTCAGGATCCTGGGATGCATTTCATCAGGCCCCATAGACTTATTGTTGCTAAGTTACATCAGGAGATCCCAAACTTGCTCTTCTCTTACACTGAGAGGGACTCTGCTCCCCCAGCCCCCTTCTAGAGTTTTGGGGACTTAAGAGATGTAGGAAACCTGACCACCAGTGAAGACCAAGCCAAATAATTGTTAAGGACATCTGCCTTCTCCACATCTGCCATTACCAGTTCTCTGTCTTCATTTGTCAGAAGTGCTACACTCTCCCTAGTCTTTCTTTTGTGGCCAATACACCTGTAGAACCCCTTCTTGTTATTCTTTGCATCCCTTGCCAAGTTTAGTTCTGTCAGTGCCTTGGTTTTCCTGATCCCATCCCCGCACATCTGGACACCATTTCTGTACTCTTCCTAGGGCACATGGTGTTGTTTCTATGATTTGTGCATTTCCTTCTTTTGCCTAAGTTTGACCAGTGGATCCTTATTCAACCATGCTGGTTTCCTACCTTCCCTGTTTGA